TACTGAACCTGTAAATGATACTGGGAAAACGAGTACAGCAAGCCAGACAGACCTTAGCATGGAGGACATTAACCAATGGTTTGATCATCTTCAGAAAGTGAGAGAGGAAAAAGAGGAACTATCAAGTAAACTTAATGATAAAGCTAATCTTAAACGAGAATTATTTCTGGGCGATGTATTAAAATGTGATTAATCTGTCAAATTCTATACCGGTATTCCCTCTGGCCAGTGTTTACACATGTTATTAAAAGTCCACGAAACAGAATGTAAGAAGCTGAAGTACTGGGAGAAAAATAAGAACAAAACTATGTATTATGAAAACACAGAAAAAAAGAAACCAGGACCAAAAAGACCTTTATCACTTCTACAAGAATTCATTCTTACACTTGTAAGACTGAGACTAGGTTTGACAGTAAAACATTTGTCTAACATATTTTCTATCTCTGAATCTCAAGCAAGTCGAATTTATGCCACTTGGGTCTGCTTTCTGTCCGCAAGTTTTAAGGACACTCTAGTCTCCTGGCCATCAAAGAAAATTGTCAAGAGAAAGCTACCAAGATCATACACATGTGATAATCCACTGTACTGAAATGTTTGTGGAGAAACCCTCTTCCCCCTATGCTCAGAAGGCCACATGGAGTGAGTACAAGGAGCACAATACAATCAAAACACTGGTAGGCATCACTCCTAATGGGTACTTTAGCTTCATGTCCAAGTTTTGGACTGGAAATACCAGTGACCGCAAGATCACACAAGAAAGTGAATACAATACAATATCTTAATTTATTAATTATTGATAATTCAATTTTATCATAATATCTTTCTGAAAGAAAGGTTATGTTATATACAAATAAAAATACCAATAAATATACAGTATAATTATATATAATACCAAGGACCAATAAATATTTAACTTTTCACTATTGTGAAAATACAATGTATGTACATTTGCATATATAATTTATACAAATATGAAGAGCTTATAACATTGAAAATTGCAATGTCAGCACACATTTAGAACAGTGGGTTAACTAACTGTACCGTAACTACACCTGAATAATCATGTTTTGAAAACATTTTGAAATTGTGCTGAATATTCACACATGCAGTTGCAGTCCGTTTCCCACACATACATGTATGAAAACTAATAATTATTTATTTATCTGTATATAAAATTTAAGTACATATTAAATGCTCAACAAATTACCAATAAGTATTGAGCAGTTATTGTAGATAACATTGGATATATATTATAGTCTAATATATATTTTCTTGATACAGCCTTTTGCAAAAATTATGAGAATTGTTGAAATATCTAAATATCATAATATCAAGTGCATGATGTGTAATCCCGAGCGATGCCCTTAAGTCCCTTGTCTTTGTAGTTTTTTTTTCTTTTTGGCGACGGACTTCTGAACATTTTCTCGATGTCAACAATGAATTATTCTAGCAATCTAGATATTTAGATAATTCTCATAATGTTTGCAAAAGGCTGTATTCTATTTATAATAAATATATAGAAATTATTTATTGTTTTAAATATAGCATATTTCCAGCTTGATATATAGTGTAATAATTATTTTGTGATACACTTGAATAAAATGAATTGAAAATTTAAAGCTTGAGACAGAAATTGTTTACATTGAGGCTTTGAAAGATATTGTGGTCATACAGTAGTTTGCTTTTGCTTAGGTTTAAATCCCTAACCTTTCATCCTTCACATACACACCACTAAAATAATTGTATTTTTATTTGTAAAAACTTAGTTTCATCTACATGAAACTTCATCAGTCTACACAATATGTTACACACTCATCTATGACGAGCCAAACATGACAAAAGTGTATTGAATTCAAAATCACCTAATGAAAAAGAAAAATCGCTTAATGAAATGGAGAATTATTATATGAAAATAAAATCAATACATTTGAAAATAAAATCACTAACTACTAAAAAAGAGATGTAGTATGTGAGAAAGAAAATTCACCATCTGAAATTAGATTCACTTGGTGAAAAAAAAATTACTCGGTGAGAATATAAATTTAGTATGTGAAAATAGATTCACTTGGTGAAAAAAAAAATCACAGTGAAAATATCGATTAGTATTTAAAAATATTGATTGAAATTTGTTTGAGCCTCAGTCAGTCAGCAGTCTTTACATAATTGAAAATGGCCGATCAGACTCAGTTAACACGCGAAGATTTGAAAGATATTTTGGAGGATGTTGCAGTATTGTGCTCTAGAATTGCCATTTGCCATGATGCTTYGGATTATATTGGACTCGAAGCATGTGCAAGAAGGATGGAAGAACATTTAAGAGTACTTACTGCTGTTAGCGTTTYGCAACCTGACAGTATTTCGTTGTTGTACTCGGAACACCTTTTTAACRAATTCATTGATTGTCTTGTCACACTGTTAAATATACTTCAAACGCTGTACTTAAATTTGATAAAYCACGAAAATCTGCAGCAGTTTGTGACAGCACAGGAGGTAGACCAGCCTACGTCATTTCTAAAGAACAAATAGAAACATTGCGCGAGTCTGGGATGAACTGGAAAGGCATAGCAGCTTGTCTTGGAGTCTCTGAAAGAACTATTTACAGACGAAGAATAGAGTTTGGACTGACAATTTTACAGACATAACTGACGATGCTTTGGATGGCCATATTAAAAACACCCTTGAGTTAACACCATACAGTGGGGAGGTGTATGTGAGGGGTAGTATGAAGGCAAAAGGAATCAATGTGCCACGGTCACGAGTCAGAGAGAGCTTAAAAAGACTAGATGGTATTGGGAGGGCTGTAAGAAGACGATATGCTATCTGCAGGAGAAATTACAATGTGATTGCACCTAACCACCTATGGCATATTGACTCAAACCACAAGCTAATATCATGCCGCTTTGTCGCTTTGTCATACATGGATGTATTGATGGTTTCAGCAGGTCAATTATATACCTAAAGTGCTGCACTTTCAATTATTTGAACATGGAGTGTCAGAATTTGGCCTTCCAATTAGAGTTAGGGGTGATCATGGTGTAGAGAACGTTGATGTAGCAAGGTTTATGATCTTAAATAGAGGGCTCAACAGGGGCAGTTTTATAGCTGGAAGGAGTGTCCATAATCAGCGAATAGAGAGGTTATGGGCAGAAGTAAACAGAGTAAGCTCTGCTTTGTATAGGGATTTATTCCAGTTCCTTGAAAACAGTGAGACTTTGGATTCTCTTAATGAAATTGACTTGTATGCTCTTCAGTATGTATACTTACCTAGAATCAATGCATCATTGGAAGAGTTCAAAAGGCAATGGAATCACCATGTGATAAGAACAGCACACCACCAAACACCTTTGGCATTATGGAACACTGGGATGCTAAATCTACAAGAAGACTCCAAGGTCATTAACTATGACACTTATGGAATTGACTTGAATCATTTTTCTTAAACACTTTGGATACTTCGTCTTCTATACCCAGTTGGCGTGAACTTGAGTCGATCTTTTCAGTTAATGCTTGAACTGTTTTGATAAGGTCTTTGAGGCCATCTCTATCCGCCATCTTGAAAAACACCACCGCAACTGAGGAAAGAAGATTTTTCTTGGAATATATACTCTTGCATTCCATGACTACCTTTCCATGACACTTGCAAAAACGAATTCTGTCAGGACTTGCTCCAAGATATGGCCACTTTTGGTTTATTACAAGACCACTCTTTGTGAGATGCAGATCTTCATGTTTTTTACTAAGTTGTTTATAATATGCATTGGCAGCAACTCCTTCCTTCTCATGACCCCACTCCCACTCCATGTGACTTATTGGGCAATAGTTCATTAAAAGTTTCACTGTATTTGACTTGTGTGTTGTTTCCCGGAGATGACAAACTTTGTAAAAATTGGAAGCTGTAATTCTTCCGGCTCGCTGATCAAACCACAAATGGCTCTGTCCTTGATGGACAGTTTTTTCATATATGACATTAATTTGTTCTTCTTATTCAATAAATTTAACAAATTCGGCTACAGTTACATCATCATATTCTACATTGTTTTGCAAGTCAGTTATACTTTTAGAAATATCAGCATATTCTGACATGGTATAGACAGATACACATTCCACACTTTCAGTATGGTCAACATTTAAATTGTTGTTCATGTATTCGTCTAGTATAGATTTGTCAGTGGCTTGAACGCTAGGTTCTTCCAAGAACATCAATGCTAAAGAGTCAGGGCAAAGGTTTTGAAGACCTTCTCGGAGTGACTGTCTTTTAACATCACGATCAACATTAGAACATCGAGGGTCAAAATCATAGGGCTTTCGGCACACTTTTTCCTATTTTCCAAATTCGGCTTTCACGAAGTTCAGTTCTTTTATTGGGATAGCATAGCTTTCATTTGTTAGAACTCTTCTCTTCCACACACATTTTTTGGAAGTACATGATGTTATTAAATTATTACACGCGGTTGCTTGGAGGTCAAACAACGCAGCAGCGGCATGTTTACAACAGCCATCGACTCCTGCTTTACATTCACAGTATGCTGAACGAACATCTGCATTTTCCTCCAGCACAAAAAATCCACCATAAATAGACAGCCCCTCGTCTGTTTTTTTTCTTATCTGTAGGTTTTACTTCGAACTTAAATAAAGAGTAGTTGGTTTCTGGCACGGCGTAAAATCTCGGAAGTGGCGTATTTAGCATGTCAGGGTAGCCTTCTTAGCCAATGATCAGCCGTGCAGCTGTTGGTAATTTACTTATAGCTTCATCAATTCTGTTTACTGGAAATACATACAGACATTTACAAAACTTTTCATCCTGCCTTGGACTGAAATTTCTCAGCAAGACTGTTTTTTTTATAAGCAACAAAACCGCCATCTCTTTCCAGTGGTAAATGATGCATGTAAGTTAGAAAAATTATATGTACTTGAACAGCTCTCTAACCTGGATGTCATTAACCTAAATGGCTAGACTTGAACACATGTCAAGACTTGAACACATGTCCCAGTAGCAGCAATTTCTTGGCAACAAACGCACTCCTCAATCCTGTCCATCACAGGTCGACATTGTCACCTTACAGCTTCAAGAATTTTCTATCACCGAAATGTGGCAAGAACCATTTAAAGCAAAATTTTTGCTTCAAAGGGAGTCGTTTTCGAAAGGAGGGCTACGAGAGGCATTTATTGCGAAAGCATTAAGTGGAATGGCAACCAGGGGGAAATACGTCCTAAAGAAATGCCAAAAGGACAAAGAGGAGAATGTGTTGCAGTATTCGCCAACCCTAGAGGAGCACATGAGAAAGATTGTGCAAATGAGTGCTTTAGCAAGAAACTTTGCTCAGTCCTTAGAGCTACAAAGACCTAAAGATTATGGTGCAACATTTGCGTATGAGAAGGTCTACTTTTCATCGATGAATGGCGAATTCATAACATTAGAAAAGTTCATCGAAGGGAAGTTCAAGAAGCTTATCAATAACACTGGAGAGGTTCTAGGTGATGACATCCTTAAAGCAGAAGCGTTTGTGCATTATACCTATGTATACGAACAGTTGATGGTTACAGACATCCAGGGTGTTGGCTACACCCTTTGTGATCCAGAGATTGCAAGCACCGCAGAAGATGAGGATAAGTCCAAACTCTTTTGCTGTGGTAATTTGTCAGAGTTAGCCATTAGAGGTTTTCTTAATGGCCATAGCTGCAATAAATTTTGTAATCTATTGAAATTGTCTGATGACAATAGAAATTAAGACTAACTAAACCATGATCATAGATAGACCTTTTCTGGATGAAACACCTTTTTGTTAAGCCAAATTGTTATTGGTATTGTTGTACTGAAGTTACATCAAAATGTACTATGTTTTGCTATTTCAGGAAAGATCTATGTCTGACATTACAAAGGACATGTAGAAATTCACATCCGTTTTCCCTCCCCACTATGAGGAAACATGAATATTAAAAAACAACAACTTAATTTTGCATAACGTTTATTATACATGTAGATAACAACTGATTTATATAGCACTAATTCAGTACATAATCAAATGTAAAGCGCCAAGAAGAAATAGAATAGAATATGTGATTTTCATTTTAATACTAACTATATAACTAACCATATATTATATGGTAGTTGATATTTTTATATGACAGACATTCTGGTCAATACATGTACATGTTTAAGGTCCTCATTTTTTCACGAGGTCAAGCTTAGAGTGGTTCTCATTAACCCGTAAAACAAAGTGTAATAGTCAAAGTGTAATAAAGTGTAATAGCCAAGAAATATATTAGCAAACAAAAGAGGCAAAGTGTGATCAAGTGTAATAAAGTGTATTACGCTAAAGTGTATTTCACGGGTTAATGAGAACCACTCTAACATTAGAAAACATTGTTGCTGTTAATTTGTACTTGTGTTCACATCAAGAAAAACACATTCTAATGGAATTTGAATTTTGTATTTAGGGAAGATGACAATTTGGTGATTTTAATAATTATGCTTTTTGTTTTATTGATGATTAACACCTATTAGAGTTACTCCGCGTTAGACACTTTTCATACCTTAGAGATGCAAATACCCAATATGATACCTTACGTATGCAAATTAAGAGCATTTAAAAGCGTTTTATTCAAACTTTTAAAATTTAGAAGCAATTATTAAGACATATACTTAAGAAAAACCAGAAAAAAGGAGATTCGTATGTGTGCATATTTAAGAAATAGATAAAATAAAAAGAAGCTATACATAAAATTTCAATATTAGTATGTTACAGCAATTATAACTCCAGGTTCAAAAAATTTTAGAAACATTACGTTTTTTGTTTACTATATTGCAATATAATGTCTTTACAAATTGTCTTCCGCCCGATTTGCATACACTAGGTATCATAWTGAATATTTGCATTTATAAGGTATGAAAAGCGTCTAACGCGGAAAAACTCTATTAAGTCAACATATTATCAATAGGTTTTCTCATACATTTTAATATATGAATGCTACATTAGCTATATAATACTTTTAACTGTCAGTACTGAATATATAATATACATATAGCATGGAATAACAATTTCAAATCTGTGAAGGTATTTGCTATGTGTGCAGTACCAGTCATAGTCTTAGTGTAGAATGATGCATATTGAAATAAATGTTATCAATGTAATTGATCAGGTGTTCCATATATAATCATATGCATTCGAAAAGACTGGTAAACTAGCTTAAGAAAACTTCATGTTGCTGTTCAATATTTGAATCTATTAATTGTATTATTAATTATTGATTATTTTCAAAATTAAAATAGTTTGATTTACTGTTAATCAAAATATGATATTAAAATTATAATAACCACAACCAATGTGTGTTGAAACTAGTTTATGTCTAATTAGTTTATTGAATAACTAATAGCTGTAATGAAAATCAAAAGATAATCTGAAACAGCTGCATGTGCAGGTATCAAGTAACAAAACTGTCAGCAACGATAAATATAATATATGTAATATAGGGTCCTGAAGGGGGTTCTGAATCCCATTTTCCCATTTTATAATTCACTAAATCCCAGTCAAAAATCACATAATCCCATCAATTTTTCAGTACGTTCTCAATCTCATTCCTATTTTCTAAATTTGTTTTTATTTGTAAATTCCAGCCCCATGCCAGAACATCTAATGTCATTTTCCAAGCCAAAAATAAAGCCAATTCCAGCTCCCATTTCACCCCTTCAGGACCCTCTATATAGGTTCAAAAAAGGCGAACTACTCAATATAGGTATACACAGTTAGTTTTCAACTTTACAAACTACTTTCACTAACTCTGTTTCTATCGAAATGAGCTTTAAGATACATGTAGGCATTTGAGGCTTGTGAAGACTCGATATCATCTGTGTTTGGTATGTGTCGTTCACACTCCTTACGGACGTCTTTATGTAAATAGTCATCAGTTCCATCTAGAACACCTGACACTTCTGGTCCTCAGAAATGTCCAGCCCACACTTTTCACTGTTGTATTCATTTGGGCAATGGTATATATGCTCTGGGATTCCAGTGGGTAGTTGCTTGTTTGCTTGTTTTCGAATACGATGACTGTTCTATACTGACAATCGGAATACATCAAGTTCCTTTTGAAGAACAGGAATATAAACATATGCAAGCAAACACCTGAAGAAATAAATATAATAAAGCATGACATTTTTGCTTTTATTCATGACATATACAATTATTAGTGATCTTATTTTCCTTTTTTTCCTTTTCATGCATCATTGAGTGAAAGGACAAAATTAAAAGAGTATCACACCTGTCAGTCTCATCAGTAGAATCATACTGGGATGACAACTGGTCTTTGAAAAATCTCTCCATCCTTTCCAAAAGATCTCTCCACCAACGCTCTATTTTATTTTGTGTGGAAGGACCAAACAAAACACTATCAGTTGGTTCTTCAAGATCTCCATAATATTCCCGCAGAAAAGAATGCATGGTAGCCATAACTCCAGTTATGTTCCCTCGTCTATTCGGATGTTCTGTGGCAAGACTATAAAAAGACAAAATGTGCATAATTAAGATTGCAACAAAAATTACAGATAACCATGTTGGAAGTTCTGTGACAATGGATCAAAATAAACTAACTAATAGATATCACATAATTTGAAAGAATGCAATGAATCCAACTCTTTGTTCATATATTTTTTTTGGTTTAAAAATGAAAAAAAGAAATGAAGAATTTTAAAGGATTGTATTATGTTCTTCAAAATTGAAACAATACATTATATAATTTGTTCTCACCTCTTCTCTCAAACAAATAATCCAGGTAAAATCGACCAATAATTTTAGGATCACTGTTGGTCGTCCAGATTCGCAAAAACTGTATTCTTGTGCACCATATATACACAATGGAAATGTTGAATTTTGATATCCACATAGCTTGTCATGCCCATCAAGTGACATAGTGAAATCTGGGCCCTGGATATAAATAAACATAAATCATGAACCACAAAAGACATTTTATTGTCATTGTCAAGTCATAAGTCGTCTATTTAATTTCTTACAAGTAGGCGTCTTATCTCAGAGGTAATCACTCGATCATAAGACCAATTCTTTTAGGAATTTTAAAACATGTGTGAGTCGATAGGTAGATAACGAATAGCTAGTGCATCCTATCCCTCAAGAATCAAAAAATAAAGAAAACAATTAGTTTGACTTACGTTCGAAACAAATACTTTCCTTCTCTTTGGTCTTTTAGGTTGCCAAACACCTCCCCTATCCTCTAGTCCTTGTGGATTAATATCAGCCATGACGCTGTAAATATAGATTTCCTTACTACCCTTCACGCTGCCAAAGCGCAATAATCAATATATACAATATTGGAGTGTGACAATGCCTGGTGCCTGGTGGACAGCACAACCAGCGACTTTATTTACTTCAATTACACAATAATATACTGTTTACAA